CCTTCGCCTCGCAACCCCCCCCCCCCCCCCCCCTACTCCCTTCCCCATGTCACACAAAGAGGCTGCCTCATTAAAGGGATGACCCTGTTCTTTTGTTCTATACAATTTCTTCCTTTACCTTGTCACTCTCTTTTTATTCCTATTATCCAGCAATTTGCAATTAATCATTTCTGATTACCATATGTTGCTTTATCATTTTCTGCTTTTCCTACAAAATTTTTTAAACAAAAACAAATATTTTCTATGGACAAATCCTAGATCAGCTGTGGCGTACCTATGGCATGCGAGCCTAGGCAGGGGTGTCAAATTCGCCCAACGCCCGGCACAAGCAGTCCCGGGCCCCTGGCGCGTAGTTTTTTTGTACAGTGGGGAAGTTGCTCGTTTAGTACACGTGATCCCAGCGATGCTGCAGAGATAACTTGTAATAAGTCTGCTCATGCATCATTCCCTGCTGCCCCCTCCATTTCCTGCCCCCACCACGGACTGCCTCTCTCCTCACCATGGTTTTCGGGGTCCCCCGCTCTTCTGGGGGACCCAGGAGCACGGCACATTCGTTCTAGATGGAGAGTGGGGAGCAGAGCAGAGAAGGTCTGTTCTCCGCTCTTCTCCATGTGAACTCTGAGACAGGAACGCTGCACTGCCTGTATTGGAGGTGACAGGTTCAATAAAGAGAACCTGTCATCTCCAAATGCTATCCCACAGGGGCTTGAAAGAAAAGAAAACAATGAAAGAAAATATATACAAGATCACAATACATTCCTTTTAATTTATTTTTTAAGGAAAGTATGAACAATTTACAGAAGAAACAGCTGCCCTCCAGGGAATCCAACAAATAGAGAATGATTTATTCAGCAAGTGGTGTACACATCACATACTTCGCTTTTACACTGCCTTTCTAATGCAGTTTACCCATGCGGGAGTTGGAAAAAGACCATTGCAACATAAGCACCTGTCATACGAGATTAGGAGCCAACAGGGCTTGGAGAGTGGCACACGTCATTGTTTCTTTCTAAATATCAACAGTTAGTTATCATAAAAATATTTAACCTAAATGTGAGAATCAATGTTTATTTGCAGGGAGTAAAATCACAGCATTTTTCTAAAGGGCTGGATAAGAAGATGCTAAATATCTTTTTCCATTTCTGTAGTATGAATTAGCCCAACTGTAAGTTTGGATTCTCGCTGAATGACCATTAAATCTGACGGTACACCTTCGAGAAGAGAAACAAAGAGTCAACAGTAATAAAATATAAACAGTCCTGGGATAAATGCAGAGTTAACCTTACAGTAAAGACTGGTATGACTAAGAAAACTGTATACTTTCCTTCCAACACAAAGGGCACCATATGGGGTGAGGCCAGATTGGGTAAAGATTAGAACCCCTTTTAGATTTTTACTGCTATACTGGGCTCCTCAATTACTGCCCCAATAGTTTTACCAGACAGGAAGTGAGGGAAAATCTCAAACACTGATATAGACAGCTACAGTAAAACAATCTACTATTTTATTTTTTTTGTATGTTGCTTCTGAAGTAACCCAGCAGGGGTTCTAATTATTTTATCGTCTTTACAAAACTAATAATAAAAATTCCTGTCTCTGCATACTTTTTGGGCCTTTGTTGACAGGCTTTTGTTCGATTTAAGCAGGTTTTGCTTTCCCATACATTTCTATGGGTACGCAGAACTCGCTTGAAGCAGGTCAAATGCACTTGGCAATAAATTCTGAATGATCTGAGAAGCAACTCAAACTTATGCCATTGACACAAGTGAACAGCCCACCGACATGGGCCCATAAAGGAGTATAATTTGCATTAGGTACGCTGAAATATGATTTATTCTAGCTGCATTCAGACTATAGTGAAATTGGTATAAGAAGTAAAGTGCATATCAAAAACACGAAACACTCACATCCTGTTAGGACGGGTTACGTAGCAGAGTGTATACATTGCTATGTCAAACTCAGGACTGGATCCCACAAAGAAAGATCCCAGGGACTTCACATAGGTGGACCATTTAAACTGGAATGAATACACATCAGGATAACTTGTCCACTATAGAAAAAAAATAAAATGACAGGAATTATATGTATTCATTTTGTTAGTGGTACATTAAATTGGACGTTGTATTCAAACAGTTCCACCTAACTGCTTTAATTCTATCAATTTAATAATTTTTCATAATTATTTATACACAATATATCCATTTTACATATCTATATCTCCTACACTAATTATATATTATATCTGCATATCTTACATATTACAACGACCTCTACTGACCATACTTTCCTTTATTCATGCATCGTTATTTATATTCATCTATGTTGAAATGTCACCACATAGTGGAATTTCTGCTAACTACATGCAAAGTTAATAATGATTGTCAGATTTTTAAAAGGAGCAGTTGGATAAACCAAGATATGCAACAGACAGAGAATATAGCATTTATGAAATCACTAAGCATGAAAAGAGTGAGGTAGATCAAGCACAATATGAATCAAGCACAATATGAAGAGGTAAGAGTAAGAAGTAAACTCCTCCCCAGCTATAAGATGGCCAGCGTTTCCTGCTGTATGTGGTATATTCCTTGCATATACACTTTTTTTTTTGCATAACATAATATTCTGAGCCAGGTAAGAAAAAGTGTCAGTTTTGTAAAATATATTTATTACCTATATGGTTCTATTAGAGCCCTTCGGCATAGGCTTTGTCCCAATGCTAGTCTATGGGCAGTCGGATCTAAATGGAAGGCCTCCGTTTACATCCGGTCACCCCCGATTCCAGCCAGGTCCAGAAAAACAAAGGGATCACAATTCCGTTTCTCCCCAACGTAATCATGCCAGATTGGGTGTAATCTGATGTAAACGGGCACAAGTCCATTTACAGCTGATTCCATATCAACATGGGCTTAGTATTTTCAGTCCAGAAAAACTGGACAGACACGGATGTCACAACGGTGACATCTATTCTGATAATTTGGGGATCCATGCACGTATCCCCTCCTGACCAAACTGTGTGAAAGGGGCCTTACCCTTATACCTGGTCTTGAATTTACCTCTGTGGTCGGTTGAGAATTTGTACATTTCTTTTTTTTGTGTCCAGGTGGAATAATTCCACTGCAAACTGATGACTGTTAGAGAATTACCCCATGACAAGCGAAATAGAATATGCACACTGAGAAGAGAAAAACTTCAACTATATATTATTTAGAAAAGTAGATTATTATGTTGCCCTTAGCTCAAAATATTAGCTAAGTCAAACGCCTATTGTTGAAAAAAGGAGGTGTTACGGGGGGAGGAGGCCTTAATCTAGGTTAGCTTTTTCATTAAAAAAAAATGATTATTCTTCATTAATACAATTATATGTGTACACACAATAGGCTGATTTAGTAAAGCAGTTGAAAATCTTCACTTAATGAATTGTGTTAATATTCGCTTCAATGTTGGATGTAATGTAAAAAGCACATTTATTATCGCTTTCAATACCCCATCATGTGCAAATGGAATAAGTGAACAGGAATTTGCTTTTCAAATGATTTAATAGTTGAATTGAATATTCAGTTGGTGAGGGTGCTCTCCGCACACCTTACAGCAGTCCCGGCCAGTATAAACGATGGTGCTTGTAGCAACTACCACGGATGGCACCGTGCAAGATACGAAGTAAAAGATAGGTCACCAGCACTCAAATAATTTAAATAGTAATGTCCTTTTTAATGGACGATTGTGTCACAATGATCAACAAAGCCCACGTTTCGCGGCCGCACAGGGTCCCTTCTTCAAGGCAAAAAGATGTGACAAAGTAAAAGCATCAACACACCACATATATACCCCATGGAGTCAATCAATTAGTAATAACCACACCCCCAGTGATGTCAAAAATGGCGGCAAAAAACACCATATTTAAAAGTCAAAAATCGCATTTAAAAACAACATATTCTAACTATCAAAAATATTTAATGTATTGTACCCACAGTCAGATGATCCAGATAGGCTGGTGACCTATCTTTTACTTCGAATTGAATATTCACACACATAGCAGCAACATTTTAATTTACTTACTGCACATCACAAAAAAGTAATGTTTTATTTTTTAGCATTGGGTTTATTTATTTTGCAGAAAACCTTGGTAGGATTGCAATATCAGTCAGTTAAAGTCCAGCCAAATCAAAACTTTCTTTTGGGCAGCATTAAAAGGGTTAGAACCTATGTCAATCTTTATTTGCAAACACTGTCCCCACTGCACAGGAAGTGATTGGAAATCTTTCCAGTGGGGACACGGACTGCAACAAAACCATTTTCTCACGAAAACACAAAATGGTTAGAACTTCTGTCCGGTTATTATTACTGTAGGTGTTTTCCTGTCCCAGTGACAACCACTCCCCTTATTTCTTGTATAATTGTCACAGGGACAGAAAGTGAGGCAGAATCTCCCCAACAGGTTCACGAACAGCAATAAAGACCTGACAGACGTATTTACTTGATTCATAATAATCCAAAACTTTATTATCCCATGCCGGTGAGGCCAATTATTAAGCAACAACTCAGCTCCAACAGAAGAGATGCAAAGAGTTTCCTAGCATCTGTAACCAGTTTGAAGAGCCCAGTTGCAAGCAAGAGGCCTTTTTCCACTTGTAAGAACAGTTTTGCCATAGAGTCAGGGTCGGCAGTCACATTCCCAGAGACTTAAGGGCTCTTCTCAGTTATAAGTGGTCAGAGACCTTAAACTTATGTCTCACAAAATATTATGTTAGCATAGGTCAAGTCACTGGTGCGGAAGCGTTTTCTCCTTGGACAAGCCTTTACAGTCAATAGACAGGCTTCTTCCCCAATAAACACAACACAGAGACCCTAGGTTCCCGAGTCACCCAGGCAGAACCCATGGATGTCAGATCTAATGCTCTCTTTTACCTTTTGGTGCTCAGTTAGTCCAAAGAAGTAAACAAACATGTAGCCTGATTCTCCCAGAGTACCTCTTTCTCCCACATGAAGGACATCTTTTCCGAAGAGGGTACTAGAATGACAATCCAAGTAACCGGTAACTAACAGGGCAGCACCTCCCCTAGAAGGGCCCTTCAACATGGCCAACTTACTGGTCCATCTGCGCTGTAGCTCAAGTAGTTTATTTCTCCAGCCTTCTCCAACAGGTAGAGCTGAACCCAGCTATGGAATCCAGAGATCTTTCTTTTATGGATTTCACCTGTAAAAGCAGATCAACTCTAACTTGTTTCTTAATTCTATACAATCTTTGTTTTACAAATGAACATTTAATACATCAATCAGAATTCTCCGAATATTGATTATCCAAGGAGAGAGCACAGTTAGTTATTTCCTTTCATGTACTGTGTCTCTTACTGAAACCTTGGACATATTCACATTGAGAAGTTGGGTGTTGGAGTCACTGCTCTGATTTATTCATATGTATATGTACTGTACCTTTGGGCTTGAGCTTTTTAGTGAGTAGGATACTAAAGCTGGGTATGCACGTATATATTTTCTTCATTCAGCTGTTTCTATTGTATTCTGCTGTTTCTATGGTATTCTGACATCCACCGGTGACTGCCAGCTGTTCGTACGAGAATTTTCCAACCAGCTCCTTAAATTAGATGATCAAGGGATGCTGCCTGGAAGGGTGCTGACAGCAGCACCCACTGTGCAAATTCAAGCTAGTTCACAAGGAATCGGCTAAAAATTTAGTAAGTGTATACCCAGCTTAAGATTTATGATAGTGGATCTTTACCTGTGAAACAGATAGAAGTTTTTCACCTCCACATTGTAGCTCTGAATTGTAGCACTGAATAGAAAATCTTGAAAACTCCAGCCATTGTGTGTGAGTGCAATGATCACTTAATTGATGTATGACATATTGTAAAAGAAAGCCAGTGAAAGGTTTGCCAATGCAAGGGCAACAGTCACTGAAAGGTTTGCCAATGCAGGTGCAACAGACACTCCAGAACACGCATATCTTATTAGGGCACAGACTACAGTCCCTAGGACTAACAGATCAAATATTACAAAAGCCCTAAAAAAGAAGAAGCCCCAGTTCCCAAAATTGTTTGGTTATGTTTTATGTCATGCACCAATAAAGTCATCATTGTTCTCCAAATAGTTGAAGTTTCCAAGACTTTCTATTCAGGCCTGGTGCTCCTAACCTACCACCAGAATCGGTTACAAGCTTGAAGGTATCAATTTTGAGGACCCTCCATGAGTCAAGCCGCCACAGATCTAACCACCCTCCAACAATGTTAAGCACTGCCTCACGCATACACTACTAATTTTTATATCATAGGTCATGCTTGGTATTGTCATTTAACAACGGTCTATCATATATCTGCATAGTCTAAATTTAGGACTCTAGTGACTCCTAAGCACAGACGTTCGCAGTGAGATTATTTGCCTTTTTTGAGAATGTAATAAATATGTGAAACAGCCTTTAAAATAGGCAATAGTTTGTCTCTGGGGCATTATAAGGTGCTGAGACAGAATGCTAACATAGATAGTAATGAGTGTGCTACTGATGGGTACATTAAAATAGTGAGCCCTTTGCCTCTTTTGTAAACAGACCTGATCCCATGAACTTCTAATGTAAATGGAACATTTTTCTTACCATGGAAAACGTGCTCAAAGCCTGAAGAGTCCAAGGATCTGTTTCTACGAGTGTATAGTCCAAACCACATTTCCCGTAGATCATTTGCAAAGCTTTCTGAAGAGTTATAATAGCCTATTATCAAGAACAATGTTACATGTTAACAATTTCCCATAACTTACAATTTAGTAAGGTACAGGGAGATGATTAGAATAACATTTTATTGATTCAGTGTTGGCACCGCTCTCTAATAATTCCACCAATTTTCTTCAAATGTACCCTCCAGACAAGGTGTGTCTTAGGTAAGAATTGTCTGTGTTGCACCTTAACCACAATCAGTCAGATTGCTACTTTCAAGTGTAGGCTTGAATCATTCTGGATGATGTGGCAAAATGTAAAATCCATTAAAGTGATATCAGTATAATTCCATAAGGCAATATTCACAACAGAGGGGTAATGCTAGGGCTTTCCAGAGCTTGTTATTATAAAGGATGGGCAATCCAATGCTAGAGATTAATTTGTGCACAGTACAATTATGCCTAATTTGTTTTAAATGTAGCTTTCCATTAGTTGAAAAACATGGAAAAAGTTGTGTCTATGAAATTATATAATTTCCTTAACTATGTCACACACATCCACATAACTATAAAAGATCAATAATCAGAGTTTGCTTCTATGGAGATAATAGCATTTAACTCACTCTAAGTGGGTTCTGTGGACACACACACATTCTTAAAGTGCAATTCAATTAACTGTTAATGCTTTTCAAGCAAAGAGCTTCACATGCTGTATGCTTGGGTGAAAAAAGTGATGGCCTCAGTAGGTATGTTCCTGTTTGTAGAACACCAGGATTTTTTTATTCTCCCTTGCAATGGGGCTACCCCCCTACTGCAAGGGTTAACTGCTCGTTTGTGTGTAGGTAAAAAAAAAAAAAGATTTACTCACCCAAAGCTCCAAGCCGGCTGGTTCTTAGACTGGTCCTTCCAACGTGCCTCCCCCTCCTCTGCAGCAGTCTAAGGTCCGGTAAATCATCACGTTTTATACACAGTGTATAGACGTGAGAATGCTGAGGAAGATTAGAATTCTGCAGCATAGGAGGAGACAGGCTGGAGGAAGCGCAGTGACAGCTGGCTGGCTCGGTGTTTCGGATGAGTATGTCTTTGTTATTTTAGCACCTAGACAAAAATGTATACTGTAGGTATTTACACAGCAGCTGCTTGAGAGTGGGCACATTTTTAGGAGGTAGCACACATTTTTGGATTGATTAATTGTTAAATGAATGAATATGTTCATGTGCAATGACAAAGTAAAGCTGCTGACACTGTCCTCTGTAAAAGGAAACAGCTTAAATCGTATCTTTATGCAAAGCCTTTTTTACTTTTAGATAAAGTGCGTTATGGTCATGTTTAGACCTTTGTCATGTTTTTATTGCTGTTTGCGCCCCAATTGTGGAGATGCTCCCCACTATTTGTACTGGAGAGGATTGTCACCAAGAACAGTAGTGAGAGAGTTGGGCCAAGAACAAGAGGTAATGGGAAATTTTTCAACTGGGCCACTTCTTGTCTTGAAGTGAAGAGGAATTTCCCCAATGGTATTTGGGGAAAAAAATATTCTAGTATGAGTTTCCACCGTTCCCTGCTCTATCCATAATTTTTGGTGGTATACATATACTTAGATTGTCCAGAATGGGCAAAGTCAAGGTTTTGCTATAAACAATAGAATTAAAGGCAAAAGGGTAATGAATAATGAATAAAGGCAGCTATACATAGTTACATAGTTAGTCAGATTGAAAAAAAGACACAAGTCCATCGAGTTCAACCTATAGAGATACGGAGAAGAAAAAAAGGGAAAAAAAGCTATAGCCCAGAATGTAATATTTCTATGGAATGTTTCAACAGAATGCTTTCTAAATGGAGAAATGGAAACACTCTAAAAAAAATCTTACTATAAACTGCTTTGCTTAACTAGGTGATTATATAGTTATATTACTGCAAACCTGAAGATCTCCACTACCCTATTTCCACATAAAAAATAGATGTCAAGCTGACTTACTAAATGGTTTATGGAGACCCACTGTTAATAAACAAATAAAGTATGACATCATTATTAGTACTTTTATCAGACGATTGGCTGTATATCTCTTAAAGTATATCTCTAGGCAACTATATCTCTAGGCAAAATCGTGTTGTAAGTTTTGGATAGAGTGCATAGTTAGAGCCTTCAAGTTTTTCCTTTGTAGGCTTGAATCATCCTGGAGGATGCTAAAAATGTAACATATCTGTCTACCCATTGGGGATTCAACCCTCTATTTGTACTGGTGACCCTTGTCACAGAGAAATAAAGTGGAGGATAGCCCAAATTTTACCGCTGTCTCCAGGACCAGAGGGGAATTGAAATCTTCTAATGGGGACATCTGTTTCAGGGACAGTTGTCATAGAGGGGAATTTCCCTCATTTGGGAAATGTTCTTTAACTTCTAGATGTGTCTGTTGGATAGGAAGATAGGGGTAATTTTCTCAATATAACACGGGCAGCAAATAAACTCTGGCAAGGGTTTTAACCTTTCCCTATTCAATCCAAAACTAAAACGTTTTGGCTATACATACACTTTAACTTCCTTGTGCTTCATGCATGTCATAGTGTAAACCAGCTTAGGGATTACATCAACAGTTATAACCATTGTTCCAGTGTACCTTTATCAATGAAGAATTTGGAAAGCTTGCTCATTACAGATGTTTGGAATATGGCTTCTATGAAATCAGTTTGCTCTTGGGTCTCCCTACTAGTTACTGACTCCACTGTCCCTGTATTCTTGATGTAATTATCCAGCAGTGCAATAAGATGGGTGAAAGTTGGAATAGTGAACAGTTTGCTTTCATTCACATAACTGAAAAGCCTAAAATTGTAATACAGAAATAAATATATATTGTAAAATAAATAGGTACAAAATATACATATAGAGTATATCATGAAAATAGGGACTGGCATTAAATCAATTTGTGTTTATAAATACAACAACGTTTTTTTTCTTTAATGAAGATGCAACAAGAACTTAAACCTTGTGACTAAAAGCACACCCTTCAACAATTTGAGGCCTTGCAGACTATTGTCATTACTTTAATCCAATGCAAATTTCTGATGGTTATGAATATGACATATGTGTGGTGCTCTTTATGTTTGCTGCAAGATAAACAGACCTTGTCTGCCAGCCTTCCACTACTCTGTGGGCTCAACAAATCATATAGTTAGTGTACCATATACAACAACTCTCAGATCTTGCATTGTGTGGACGGCATATATGTATATACTGTATATAAATGTTCCTGTAAAGGAAAAGGTTTATACTTACCTTACTCCTATTTTCTGTGAGGTTGATGTCACACTCCTTCCAGCGAGATCCTGGGGTACAAAGAACAGGCAAAATCCCACAAGAAGATGCTCTTGCAATGGTCTGAAGTCTTCTGGTGAGTTTTCTCTGGCTTCTCATTTGCCAAAACTCTTTCTGGAAGGACAGTGACATCACGCCTAACATAGATGGGGGTGAAGTAAGTATAAATCTATCTTTTCTTTATAGAAACATTTTAGACCTACTAACATTTGGTGGAGGGGACCTGGGCAACTTGAGCTGACCTTGCATTTTACTGCAAGGCTTGCTTTAAGTCAGGATTAGTGAAACATACACATATTATCTGTTCCTTTCACTGTTCGACTTATATATTTGAGTTCTGAAAGACATTTTTGTGTAGGGTTGCCACTATATGATCCATGGAAAACTGAACTGTGGCAAATGTTGGTATGACGTCTCATAAATCAGAAATGGCATCACTTGGGGCTCACATATGTCTGCATTTTATGCAAAACAATGCAGCACGTTGCAACATGCTCTTTTGTATACAGTTGAATTGGTTTATTATTGCAAATAAAAAAAAACTGTAAACATTGTGATGCACTGTTACAACACACACCGGCATAGTAGCAGCAGAGGTGGCAGTTAAGATGGGTGGGGTGTAGTGGGGAGAATTTGAGCAGCAGTAAGCAGCTCTAAAGGTGATTGGTTGGTCTGGTGGTATCAAAAGTTTCAAACTAAAACAATTTGATAAACATAAATATATGATAAATATGCTATATTTGCTATCATTTTAAATAGGGATGCACAGATACTTTTTGAGTACCAGTGCAGATACTTGGCATTTTCATGAGAACTCCCAGGGTTGCAGCGGTTGCAGATGGGACCGGGCTCTGGCACTCCACCGCTGTCCTGAAATTATTAGTCTGTATTGTTTTAGAAAAACTGTCACATGACAATAAACAAAAATGTATCAGTACTCGTACTTGTAAGTACTCGGCAAGTACCAGTACTCGTACTCACAAAACTGGTATCTGTGCATCCCTTTATTTATATTTATAAAAACAAAATCATACAATAAAACAGAGATGTACAAATCCCGGGAGCTCCGTGTGCTCCTTACAAATGACAGCTGCCTCCTAACTTTTGAATTTTTCTCTAGTCTAGTCTTGGAGCTCAAAAGTATCGGTACTTGTACTCGTACTTGTACCGAGTACTGTACTTGGTATCTGTGCAACCCTACTTTTAAATATGATCTTTGTGGGCACACAGCAGTAATTGCTTTATATATTGAAACAATCCTGCAAGGGTGAGAGATGCATTCTTCCCCTTTTACAATCATGCATGATGTTAAGGAACATAGGATAATGAATAAAATATGGCATATTAAAGAAAAAAGAAAACATGTCATAATGCTACCAACTTACTTTTGGCTGGCAAAGTCAGTCCTTGATCTGATTTGAGTGCTGTTGGCTTTGTACTGTAGATTCAGCCTAATGTCACCACTGCCAGCTTTATTAACATCGGCCACATACAGCTCTTCAGCCAAAGTCTGAATCTCATCATTAGTGACAACAAACTGCGATGTCAAGTGAGGTTGTCCTGCTATTTAGATGCAAGAATAAAATGTTATTTTACACATTTCAAAAGCTTTTTATATGACATTTATCACAATATGCCATGGTCACAAATCTAACAATTTTCCTTTATTAAATATCAGCAAAGTGGTGTAAATTTGTTATTTGTCAAGGCTACCAACCTACAGGATGTGAATCAATACTACCCACGGGCTGGTCCCAGATTCATTTATAGGGCTGTGTGAGAGGCCACTTACCGGATTAATGGATATTGATAGTGTTTTGGACTGCCACTTTTTTTCCAGCATTTTACATGGACTTAAAGTCCATGTAATTTGGTTCATTTCTATGCATAAAGTAAATAATTTCATTTAGTCATATTCGGTACATTAGTGTGCTGCCACATCCAGTGTCATTTGTATTATTTCTGCTTTTTCAGTTACTTTGCATACATATTACACTGCATTTAATTATGTTATGCTATATTTCTAGCTACTAGTGGTAGTTTAGCATTGTTACAGCCTAATTTGTGTTTATTTGGTCTTCTGCTAAAATCTCCCAGTCATTCCTTCTTCTTCCTCTTTCTGCATCATCCCTCACTGAGGTAAGAGGGTCTCTATGGGGTCTATTCACGAAGCAGCCGAAGGATCTAGCCATAGCTTCGGCCAATCCTTCGGCTAGCTAAGCTGCCCAGGAGAGAAACACTGCTTTATCTTTTTTTTTTCTTTAGTCTGACACGGAGCCGTGAAATTGAAATAGCCAATAGGAATCTAGCAATGCATTCCAATGGGCAAAAAAAAGATATTTTATTTGTTCTTCTATTCTGACACGGCTCCGTCAGAATAAAGAAATAAAAAAGAAAAAGCAGTGTTTCTCTCCTGGGCGGTCGGGAGCGGGAGACTCCCAGAGCGCCCGGGAGAGTATTTTTTTCTTTTTTTTGACGGCAGCAGAACCGCCGGCCAATAGATAACTATTGGGCAGAGCTAGCTGTCATTGCTAGCTCCGCACAATGGTTTTCTATTTATTTTTTTGGACTTTTTAAACCATTTTTCTGTTCTGCTCGGTCCCTCTGAGGGACCGAGCAGAACAGAAATCAGCTGTACCAGCCTGAAATGAATAGCCGAACAGCGTTCGGCTCACTTCACTTCAGGTCGGTCTTTCACTCGGCTGCCTAAGGCAGCTTAGTGAATAGACCCCTATGTAACCTGTTTATGGCAAATATGGGAATGTATTTTCACTCTAAGAATGACAAGGAATCACATCCCCTGTATTGAGAAGGCAAATAAACTACATTGGATTATACTCTGAGTCTTCTTATCGAGTTGAACACTATCAGTGAATATCACCAAGTCAGTAGGTTGTTATACTATCCGTACAGATGAGTCTCAGGAAGGTATGTACAAATATATAAAGTGGTGGTTGTAACAGAATAATTAGAATGATTTATTTTTGTAATGATTCATTATTTCTGCAAAATTAGTCTTTCGTTTTGTTGAATCGATTCGTAATTTCTGATGGTCGGTTGTTCGTTATTACATACAATTCATATTTTCGGAAAACTGGCCATATATCAACCTTTAACAAAAGGCCCAAACTATCGAACCATGACATCAGAATGAAACAAACAAATCCAAATGAATTAGTTGTTTTGGTTATTATTTATTTTGGATTCGTTGACATTCGTTACTAATGTTAACTAAATCTTCAAATAACGTAAATTCTTTTGAATTTTGATTTGTACCAAAACGAAATGCACATGTCTACTCAACACTAAAGATGGAAAAATGGAAAAAGTATAATACATACAAGGTAAAAGTGTACACAGTTGGAGCTTGACATGCTGCAGAAAGTTCTATTATATGTGTTACAAATGGAAACTGGTCATTTAAGCTGTCAGAAGTTTTCAACCTTCAAAGAAAAAAAGGTCAGCAGGTCCTATGTAGAAGATGTTTGACTTCTGTGAGTCAAATTGATTTCTAAACAGGCACATTTGAGGGAAATGCTCAATTTTCTATGTCTTTACGCTGTGCTACAGTACATTTTACATTTCTTTAGTTTTAATTTTTTTGTGCAATTTCAGGGATATATTTTTAAAGAAAAGACTTTGTTGAATATGTATACAGCAGATGCATGATCTCATTTAAAAGCACTGGACATTTATAAAGCAGTCTTTATTGTCTCTGGCCACAAAAGTGATAGGCATGGCTAATCTCAACTTTGCAATGCCAAAGAAAAGCATTCTTAGAAACTACAGCCCCCTGCTAAAATTAATTTGAAGTTTAAAATGTGATGAACACAACTTGAAAATATTGATGCAGTGCAGCCACCTGATAAATTCATGGTTGATTGTCTGGGGGTAGATACTTACTAGCTGACTGTTGGGTGACCACTATTAGTGGACTTATCAGAATTTTTACATAGTATTTGAGGTTGAATAAAGACACATGTCCATCAAGTCCAACCTATTGTGTGTATGTGTATGGTCCTACTGATGTGTGCGTATGCATAGGTCCCTGTGTGTTCTCATTCTTAAGCGTACTTTTACCCCTGTATATTACGGTCCCTGAGGAAATTGTCCAATCGCCTCTTGAATGATTCCACACTCTCAGCCAAAATCACAGCATGTGGAGGCGAGTTTCAGACCCTGACTGATCTAACTGAGAAGAAACCCCTGCGCCCCTTGTGCTGAAATTTTTTCTCCACCAATTTTAGGTGGTGGCCTCTAGTCCTTGTCATGGAGTTAATTGTAAAAAGTTTGCTGCTAATGTTACTATCCCCGGTAAACATTGTATACATGAAAATCATGTCCCCCCTTAATCTCCTTACTTCCAATGAGAACATTTTTAGATTTAGTAGCCTGTTCTCATAGCTCAGGTCCTCCATCCCCTTTATGAGTTTGGTTGCCCTCCTCTGGACTCTTTCCAGTTCAAGGACATCCTTTCTGTTCACTGGTGCCCAAACATACTATTGAGAAGTCATCAGATCCACTGACATACATCTTACAGGCTTTTACAGTGGTACAAACAGGGACAGTGTGGTGTTTTGTATATATGTTCTTAGTTTTTTTTGCTATGTTTAAGATAACAAATATTGCAAATATTTAATTTTTTTGTCATGTAAATATAAAATTCATATTTCGTATTTACAAATTAGTTTACAATTTCTAGTAAGCAGACACACTTGTGTGTGAAATGTTTAACAAGTCATTCCTAAATTTCTTGCTTTTTATATAGAATAGGTGCTCTGTTCTTAAAAAATATGTTGGATGCACCCTATATTAGATTTTTATTTGTAATATTGGGAAAAAAAACAAACAATAAAAATGTAGTAAATATATAAAACTATATAACATCAGTTTTAAAGCCAATAATAGTTTAAAACAAATAAAAATTTAATTGACCCCCAAACCATTATAGTCTATCTAATAGATGCCTCATTTTACGTTGCAATTGCCGTCCTTTCCGTCAAAAGAATTTGGACTTTAGCTTTCGAAAAGGCTTGTGATTATTGAGGGTGTGTTCTCTTAGTTAGTTCTAAAGATAGGTGCATTTGTTTCTTAGACCTCAGTTGGTCAGTGGCACACTTGCTAGGTTGGTGTAAAATTCATGCCCTATAGTAACTGCTCCCATAATATGCATCATATGTTTAACAATTACATGAATGATTGCCACAAGTGTTTGTACAAACATTAGATAAGTTGACACTGTAGCACCTTCCAATTTTCTGAAACCTTCTAAATTGCCTCATCAATAATCTAGCTGTAAAAAACAATTCTTTAGTGTTTAATCATTCTATCTCTATATCAAAAAGGCCGGAAATTAATTTAGAATTTAAAAAGAAAGGAATTGCTTTATAATATGTAGACTTTAGGTCTATAAGTGTTATAAAGCAATGTCTTGCTTTTAAATGTAATTCTTGTCTTTTCAGATAAATAGATAGAAGGATGAAATACTAAAGAATATACAAAATATGTAGCATTTTTCTTTAAGAAAAAAAAGTGGTTAAACATAAAGCATCGTCAATATCTTATATTTTAAAAACACAAGCAAATGAAGAAATAGAAGTCTCACTCAGTTGTGGTAATGTGGTTCCACAGATCACAGAAGGGAAGATGCACAGGAGAACAAAAGCGTCCTTCATAGTTGAAGTGTCACCGACCAGATCCCTAAAAACAGTAACTGCAAGCCTTTTATAGAGAGTATCAGTGACCTCACGGGGTGGAACATACACAGACTACCCTTGTGTGCCTCGCAGTCTTACTCAGCTAGAGTACAATGAACAGACCTCAGGAGCTTTCATTTTGTAATTAATGCTGAATATATGTATTTTTCATGACTTAAGGAATTCATCAGTCAGTAGTTTTTCTGATATATATCCTTATCCCTTCTTTCTTTCTGCAATGTAATACATATCATTCTAATTTTCACATGCTGACTTCCTTCCTGACTTCCTTCTGTAAATTTGACTTGCTCATATTAATGCATGTGAATTACTGTGTCTAGCATCAATTACTTTTATTCTTATCTTTTGCCAGTGCACATGTCATCCTTAAGTAAGTGTCCAAACTACCTGAAGAACATCAGTCCATCATTTGCTCGAAAGTGACTTTGCAAGTAGCGAGGGCAGAGAATTATGGCATGGAAGCCAAGCAACCAGCATTTTCAGAAGGTGTTTGTAATGGCACCACAGGTTTTTGTAGAGATGGACTTGGGTTAGGTTGGCTTCACTTCTATGCTTTGTGGTAATTCATTCTGAATGGCATCCCAATGCACTAGTCTAACGAACCTTCAATGCAACTGCATTGTAGCATACTACAATTGTAGCATACTGCATTGTAGCATGCTAGTAATTCATTACCATGCATTGTGTTACGCTCCGTCAGAAAATGTAATATATGTCTGATTTTCACTGCATTGCATTGCGTTGCTTTGTCAGCCTATTCATATTAATGGGCTGGCTTAACTCAACTCTTAACTCAAGTGATGCAGTGCAAGCATCTATAAAGGTACTCTACAGCCGAAATCAAATTTGAAATGATTGAAATCCATTGGAATAGTTCATTGAAAGTTGTACCACATCACTGGTGTCCTGCCCAAAGGTCCGTCCCCTTGGGCGGGACACCAGTGATGGGGTACAACCATCAATAAACTATTCTAGTGGATCCCGGCGTACGGCCAGCTGTTCTTCTGTTTGTATGGGCTCATATTGGAGCAAGCACCCTCTTTTATATCCTTTCACTGAGCCGTGGAGGAGCGATGCTTCTTTTCTGTGTTCTCCTTGAAAAAGCTGAACTCTATGCTCATGATTGTTTTTTTTTTTTTTTACTAATAGTCATTCAGGGTTTTTTTACACTCAGTGGGGACAAATAACTAAACGAATAAAGACTTTTCACTTTCCAAAGGAAATTGTCACTGAGCTTAGTAAATAAGGTGAAGATGTGTTAACTTCAGATGTGCCTTTTGTATATTTACCATTCAGTTCAAATGGCCTGCTTAATTACCATGCAGAAAATGTACGCAAATGCTAGCATTTCCATTATGCTGTACTGCAGGTACAGCAGTCACATGTGAACAGATTGAACATGTATTCATTGAAACTTGTGTTAGTACCCAAATCTGTCTTGTTATCAACCTCTTGTAATCCCCTTTAGAGACAATAAAACTCATACTTGGTGAGGGAGGGCACGCACAATGGCACCTGCTCATGGTTTGCCTACAGCGTGCTTAGGATGACCAGTCCTAGGCTGACGGAGGGGTGGTAACCTAACTGTACTGTTTAACTGCAATAGTAAAAGTGAGGTCACCAACCTGTCTCTGTTGTCTGGCAAGTCTGTGGATATCAGGACTGACTGGACAGAATTTCAAATTCATTGGCAAGTAAACTAACTTTGAAGGGGCTTGGATGGGTCCATTCCTGACTATATGACTGAGTTTTGAGTCTGGCTTTTCCTGTGCTGTAAATTTGTGGGGTTTTTTGCGCAGCCTTTGATTTTAAAAATTCAAACTGACAACCACAAATCTGCTTTGCAGGGTTCAGCTGAAGAACAGACAGGCAGGGAGATCTAGATGTATGTTCCACTGTTATATGCATATCCAGTGCATCCCCTAAGGAGCCACAGAGAATAGTAGATGGGTCATCTCTTATATACATGTGTAGGGGATCCAGGTTCTGATTACCCCAATAACATTAACTGCCCCGTACTTGTTACTCAGAGAGCTGAAATCCAGACCAGAGGTATGATGCTGAGGAACTTTTGTTAGAACACATGAATTAGGAGAGAAGGTTTAAGGCTTAGGACATCCATGAGAAAAAAAAAAAGAACAGAAGTTCTCACCCTTCTCCAAGACTCACCAGTCCCTTTCAGTATTCTACAGTGTAGAATTAATAGGAGCACAGTCTGACACTGGGTATTTGACTGGGTATTTGATCAGCAGCTGAAGAGGGATGAACATGAGATCTTCAATAGGAGAGATACCAGACTTGCTCCTGAGGTCCATTCCATTCCAGGCACCTCCAGCAGCCATCGGCTTTCCTGGTTCTCCTGCTCAATCAGCAGCAAAGGCCTCCTCCAAGCTTGAGGCCTAGTGAAACATTTCCCGCACTTGAGTATTCCCCCCCCCCCCCCCCCCGGGG